TTTAATAACAATTTTTGATTATAAAAGTAATGCCTCTTCATTTTAGAAAGATTAGGAAATACAGAAAAACACAAAGAAATTAAAGTACTTGCAGTCCTTCCCCTACTGATATGTTAGTATACTTTGAGGTCTTTTTCATGTTGTATAATTACATAGATTGGAAAATATAATTTTTAAATGTGTAAGAAGTAAAACATAGCGTATTATCAAGAGGGGGATTTAGTCTTTGAAGTTACCTTTTCTGCCTTCTTCCCCCATTCCAACAATCTAATTGTGGTCCTGAAATGAAAGTACGTCCCTGAAATCACGTGGCAAGGTTGGCTGTGAAGAAGTCACTGTTCTTCACTTGGTCCTTAACTGCCTACCCAGGGTTTTAATATATAGAAGGATAAAATGGGACAAGAGCAGGTCTTTTTCTTCCTTTTAACATAGAAAGGAATTGTTTCCTGTTGCCATTTGAAGGTAAAATTGGCCTTCACTAAGCAAGGAACAAGTGACCAAGTGTGTGTGGGGAAAATTACCGCATAGACCCTCCAGGAGAAACTTACATGGCTCTTGCTTATATAGCAAAATTTTAGGAAGATTTTCAGGATTTATTTTCATTATGATACTTACAGGATAAGAGAGTCTTGTCAGCATAACTGTGGTTTTTGCAGCAGTCACTTCAAGTGTATAAATCTCTTCCTTCAAAAATAACCTGAAAGGAGAAAGACTGGATTACATTTAATGGAATAGCAGCAAAATACCTATAAAATACCCATATTCTGCTCTTAATGATATCTGTAATCCCTAAGTCAAGGAAGAGGTTATTTATAACTCACAAAGGCACATAGATCCTCAGGGTTTGATGATCCTGTGACATAATCCCTTTGAATAAATCATTTTCAAGAGGAAGCCTTTAGGGGAAAAAAAACCCTTGTTTTTTCCCCCAAAGAAAATACTGGACTATCATACTTAGTAGGAGCCATTGATGTTTTAAGTAAAATTGAGAATTTTCAATCAAGCAATGTCCCTGCTCAATTAAATATTGGTCTGACATTCTTCTCATGTTCTTGAAACCAACTAGACAGCCTTGCAGTACTTTACACAAGCAGCTGGTCTTTCTGTCGCAGCATCCTTCTTACAGATTCCCCCGTCAGGCCAGACAAGCCACACATTCAGTCTCAATTTTGTGTGTCACTGTGGATGGTTCAGATGCAGTGATATATTTATTCATATCCTTGAGAAGATCCCTTTAAAGTTTCCAGGCCAATTTGTTTGGTATATGCAGTTGTGCAGAATCTTATATAATCCAGTGGCCCTTGCTGATGTTCACAGCCAAAGGCACAGCACTGTCAGTTAGAATTCCTCACTCATGTTATATGCCAAATTGTGGGTGTCTTATGTCATGGGGATTTTGTATCTTCTTTTTGCCCCAGTCTTTTCTCCTAGCTTTCCAGCCTTCTCCTTATATTTCAAAATACAGTGTCAGCCCCTAAAATCAGACTCTGCTAAGGGGACTTGGGACAATCTTTGTGCTTCCCAAAAGTATAGTCAGGTTTACTGTATATGCTTTTGAACATAATAGGACACGTCCTTTGGCCCTACTTGATACATTTTCTGTTGCCATGGGAAGAAGTGGCTTTAGAATCAGAGACTGACTTGAGCTTAAACCCTAGCTCCATCACTTACTAGCTTTGAGTTGCTTACCCTGTTTGTTTTCTTCATCTATAAAATAGATAGTGACTGCCTCACAGTGAGGTGGTGAAAAATTAAATGAGAAAACAAAAAGTGACTTTCGCATGGTGAACATGCAATAATGTTAGTTTTTCTCTTATTTTACTGGTGTGGGAGACAGAATGGTGGACTAGACAGTGGGTCTGGTCAAGTGGGCTACTTTTTATGTTCTAAACAAGCCTTTCAGTTTTTGAATAGCTCAAGGCAAAGCAGTTCTCAGGGCTCTCAGATTTATTTAGTATACTTTCAACAAGTTTTTAGTGAACATCTATTATGTGCCAAAAAACTGTGCAAGAGAGATACAGAGGCTAAGTAACACAGTAAGTCCTTATCCTCCAAGGAGTTTGTAGTCTAATGGAAAAGACAGATGACTAAACCAACAATGATAGGGCACAATGGGAATAAAAGAGGCATGGTCTCTAAACATACTTTAGGCAGCCAGGGAGAAACTTCCTGAAGAACTGACACTAGCTGAGCATGGATGTGCAGGCAGAAGGAACAATACTGACAATACTGACAAACGCACAGAGGCAAAAGAAAGCACGCAGTGTTCTAGGAACTGCAGATAGTTTTGAATTAGTGGAGAGAGAGATGTGTGGAGGTGTAGCAGGAGGGAAGCTGAGGAGAGAGGTAAGAGTCATATTTTAAAGTATTTTCTAGTTTTGGTAAAGGATCTGAACTTTAGCCAGAAGACAGTGAAGAACCACTGAAGGGTTTTAAGCTGTAAAATGGAATTTTTAACGTTTCATTTGAGAAATAAACATTTTAGGAGCAGAATAGAGGATGCATTCGAGGAAGGTTCAAGATGAGAAAGAAGGAAGGAGGAAAGAAAAGAAGAAAAATTGTTTAGGGCACTAGTAGTAAGTTTGGTGAGGCACTGCAAGAGTCTGAATGAAGGTAAAAGTGTGGGAATAGCAAAAAGCAGATAGATAAGGGAGATATTAAAGTGGAATAGAGTGGAGTTTGGGGCATATTGCCTTCCATATGCCTGGGAGAATGTCCAGTAAGTTGTTGGCTGTGTTGTCTGGACAAGAGTTCTGGTCAACAGAGCCAACTGGAGCGGCTGATTTGACCATATGTGAGAGTGCTGTGAGTGGTAATCCAAGCCAACTGTCATCAGTTTTCCTTTTATTTCCAATGACTAATACATATTAGGTGATCAGTAAATATTTGTTGAATTGATACTACTGTGGCTACAGCTTTTACCCTTCGTCTCCTTCATTTATGCTTTGAAAAAATTGACTGATCTGTCTTTACTCAGCAGTAGGCAACCTTGGGCCAGGTGGCCTAAGCAATGTTTAATCACAAATGGCTTCTTGATGACAGACCACTGCTTATCACTTGAGCAGACTGGCAAAAAACTGACTCTTACTTGATTATCTTAGGTATTTTCCTGGTTGTTTATTAATCAGCCTTCTCAGTTGTGACAAAATTTTTTGGAGAAGCCCCGAAGTTTGTCTCCACATGAGTGGGTTTGGATATGCTATTCACAGCGCTCGAGCTAGCATATAGCAATTTGAGAAAGCCTATTTGTTTATTACCAGCTGATCTATTTTTGGGCAGCTCCGTAACAGCTTGTCTGACTCAAAAGAAGTGGTGAGATAAGTGCCCTAGAAAGTAGTACAGCATGTTAATAATATAACAACAAACTCATTCTTGTGTCCCCCAGGCCCTAGCTTATTAGAGGTGCTCAGATACTGTTGATTGAATTAAGTGAATCTATATGGTAATTGAGAATTTACAAAGTGCTTTCATATATATTATTATATTTGATCCTTGGGACCCTGTGAGCCAAACCAAGTATTATTCTCATTTTAAATATGAGGTAATCTATATACCCTTAGTGAGAATATTTCATGTTATCTCTGATACATCTGCAGGCAGAGACAGTTTTTGTTGTCATCTCTCAGTTCCATTTTATGTGTCCTAAGTAATATTTATGATCAGTCAGTGAAAGACCTGCCTAATCTGAATTCAACTTTACCACTGGGAGATGCTCTTGAGTTGACTGTTTCAAGGTAGCTTAGAGGTAAAGTTGGTCTGAAGTTCTTGAGTGCAGTGCATCTTTTCTTGCCTCAGTTGACCACTGGTTTATATTTATCACAATGTAGGCTGGTTTACAACTTAAAGAGCAGCAGTGATTTTTTAAAATATATATATAATACATATAATGTGATTTGAGTACTAAAATGTGTAAGCTGATCCAAGCTTGTGTCATTTACTCCAGGAACACCTTTTTAAAAGAGTCCTTTTCTGTTAAGTTCCTATGTGGTATGTAATATGGTAAACTGATCTGACCAAAATTTCAGGATCAAGTGGCTTATTTACAGCTCTCTGGTGAGCAAATGCAGGCATTACTTTTCTTGACGTTTGGGTTCTGCTATATTGTTCATTCCTCAAATGGCTCATATTCTTTTCCTACTAGTGTGAATTTCTTCTCTTTTTCCACTTACAGAACCTTTCTTTAAACTTTAGGAGCAGGTCCATCTCTTGTGGTGTTATCTTCCCATTCATGTTCTCTTGGAAGTACTTTATTTTAGATCTTTTTCCTGTGGTGTCAGGCACTTAGCCCAGGAGGGAACTCACTGTGTTTCCAGGATTTATTTCTCTTAGGGATTGGGGATGTTATGTCATTCATCTGTGAAAAAATACTTCTCAGCTGCTAAGTCATATTTATTCAGTTTAAAAAGAAATGTTTTACTGTTTTAGATATTATAATTAATCCATGACAATGATTGGATTAATCTGTGCTGGGTATATTCAACTTCCATATCCCTGCCAACCAAAGTCTGAATTTTAGTTTCTCCATAGGGGCTGGTACACTGATACATGTGGCTTGGAGATATATGGAACATTTTTCAATCTGATCAGACTCCTCAAGCATATATTTTGTTTGACTCATAAATTGCACTGTGTCCAGTGCATAGTAATGAGTTAGGTGTTTAGGAATAGTAATTCCTTTCAGTGTGAAGAGTATGTGTTATACAGGGAAGACCAGAGTAATAAGAAATGCTTGGTACTATGCGAGGCACATCAAAATTGTTTCTCAGGTTAGCGATGTTTTAGAAATATGACCAAAATGAGGCTGGAATTGCTGAAGCTGCTGATATGTGTAGTGAACAGCAGTTCTTCCTTTTGACCACCCCAGGAGCTAAGATCCTTGTTTTATATTAGTATTAATATTTTTTGAAGCCTCTTAAAAATCACTGTTGATTCTCAGAGTTCACTGTTTTCCCCAAGTATTCCTAATCTTCTTGCTTTTGTATGTGTTCCTTCATTTGTAGAGTATAAATGGCATTCGCACAGAGGAGGTGGCTGCCATGACAAAGGGGCCACCTACCAACCCTGACCCTGAATGGGAGGGCCCTGAGCACTCAGTAATTCCTAGTGAGAGCCAAGTGACCATCCCGTCGAAGTCTCCACAAAACTTTGACTTTGACTCCCTCTCCATAAGCAGCAAGGAGACAGAAGAGAAGGAGCAGGGGGCAGCTGGCTATGTTGATGTTCAGGAAATGCCAAGAGGCCCAAGTGGGGAATGTATAGGAGTGGAGGAACAGGCCAGTGCCTTAAAGTTCCCAGTGTCACCAGCTTCCTCTCAGCTGCAACTTGGTGGAAAAAAGGCAGAGAGTAGTGAAGAACACGTTACACCAGGAGAGCCACTTGGAAAGCAAAATGGATCATTTCTTGACTCTCGTGTGGGTAACCAGTTCCCCACCCTCATTCGAAGTTTCCAGGTAGTAACTGACTTGATGATGCAAATCTAATGACTCACTTTGGGAGAGGGCCAGAATCCCTTCTGTGGAGGAGGTGGTGGTGGTGGCGGTGGTGAGGGTAGTAGCCTCCTGGCTTTTTTCAAAATCACAGAATAAAATTGAAGCCCTTGATTACTACAGAGAAATTTATTCAGAGGCATTAACACCGTGGCTAGAAATGCTTTCTCCCTTGATGACCTTACAAAACTCTTGTGGGTAAACCCCAGCTGTTCATTTTTATGAAGCTGGCGTAAGCACGTTCCTCTTTTCCTTGCTCGAGTACGGGCTGTGTAAAGAAGTGAATTTCTGAGACTTTTATGATATGATGAGGAGCCTTAAGTGTTCTGAGACTCTGCTCAAAAAATTCAAATACTCTTAATTAAAAGGAGTAACTGATTTTTCAAATGAGAATTCAGGCCCCAAATAATTATGTATTGCAGCCACACAGTACAGCTCACCACTCCCACTGACCCCACTCACGGGAGCTTCCATGATCATAGGCACTAATCTCCTATGCTAAGGTGGATGACTGCTTAACTTTGTCATGATCAAACGGTAATTTTAGGGTGATTTATAGTCTTGGGGAAGGTGAGCTGATAGACAAGAACCCTTTGATATTTCACTGATGTTCATTCTTCTGAAATTCTGAGATTAATCACCAGGTGGTGGTGGAACTGATTATTTTCTTTCCAGTTTTCCAAATACTGTTTCTTTTCAGTAACTCCAAAGTGAATGTCTGACATTGATTTGAAAGAAGTTAATGAATTCCAGGGTGATGCGTTCCAATGCCACTGCTATTTCATGTACCATTTGTACTTAGTGGAGGAAATGTAGCTGATTTTCTTAATTTTAATGGTACAATCACAAGGACAAACAAAAGTGACTGCCATTTGGCAAATAGTTTTATATTCAAATTCTGAAGGTCAATCTGAAGCATTTTGTATCACTAATCATAACTGTCTGATATTATAGCTTTCCATTAAGCATATGAAGGTGATTACAGTAATGCTGTTCTTTAATATCCCTCATGATTTGACATCTTGTCAGGGCTACTTTGGAATAGTGTCTTGGGCAGAGATTGAGCTAGCCCTTTGCTTGATTAGAGCTATTACTTTGATCAGATCAATGTCAGAATATTAGTTCTCCACAGCCTTCTGAAGACTCCAGTAACTCTATTTCTTTACTGCTTCACAGCCTCCCCTGGTGAAGACTCAGACCGTCACCATCACAGACACTGCCAATGCTGTGAAAAGTGAAATCCCAACCAAAGATGTCCCTATTGTCCACACTGAGACCAAGACCATCACTTATGAGGCCGCCCAGGTAGGACATGGTTTGATGTTTCAGAACCAAAGACTCGAGTAAACATGGTAAATAACCTTTCTTCACAGGGCTTCTGATCATTTGCTGCAAATAATGCTAGGCTTTTCTGGGGCAGTTCTTTTCGGAAGAGATTACTGATCTAAGGATCCCAAAATACTTTATTGAAAGCAAAGTTGTCCTGGATCTGATTGCTTATATCCACCCAATTCAGTTAGGGAGGGCAGTCTAGTGTGATGGTTGAGAACATGGGCTTTGGGTCAAACAAACATGAGTTCAAATTCCAGTTCCAACATTTACTAACGTAAACATGTGATTGAACATCTCTGAGCCTTTATGCCCCGACCCGCCCCACCTCCGCCCCGCCCCGCCTCCCACCTCCGCTGCCCCGCCCCACCTCCCACCTCTGCCCCGCATGGTGTTACTATTTACCTCATGATTTTGTTACGAAGCTTATTTATATAAAATACAGAACTGTGTGGAATTGACTTGAGTACCATGCCTGAAAGCATAAGTAAGTAACAGCTGTAATAATTAAAGTCAATTTATTACAATTAAATTTAAAATCGCACAAGAATTTGGTACTTAAAATTGTTGTTTACTTCCTACTCTTAGTAAAATTTCTCCTTCATTGTTAATAATTTGAATGAGCTAGGGTTGTTTATGGTGAATGGTTTTTCTTTTCTTTTCTTTTATTTCTTTTCTTTTCTTTTCTTTTCTTTTCTTTTCTTTTCTTTTCTTTTCTTTTCTTTTCTTTTCTTTTCTTTTCTTTTCTTTTCTTTCACAGAAGCCAAAACTGGGAAAAACTTTTCCTTCTAGGAACTGAGCTGTAAATTCATTCCTACAACAAATATTTGTTGAGCATTTATATTTTAGGCCAAAGCAGTGCACAAGGTGGACACAGGCCCCACCCTCTGGAACTGACACTCTGGTCAGGAGAGACAGGCAATAAACACATAAGCAAATGTATTAATTTCAGACAGTGATGAGAGCTGTAAAGAAACTAAAGTAGGATCAAGAGTTAGACAATATGAAAGGTTGCTATTTTGGGGCTAGAATAGTCAGGAAAATCCTCTCTGAGGAGGTGACATTTCAGCTGAAGCCTGCATGATGGGGAAGAGGCAGCCATGTGAGGCTCTGGCTGGGTGATCTCACATAAATCCTTTTCGTTAATCCTCACATCACCATAAACTGGATGATGAGATCCACCTTTAGGAAACAGTGTAGCTTGCCAATTAAAAGCATGTGCTTTGCAATTAGACAAGTAGAATTTGTATCCTAGCTCAACCATGTACTCACTGAATAACTTTAAACAAATTGCTCATCTCTCTAAGCCTCTGTTTCCTCGGTTGTGAAAGGGGATAATACTAACAACCACTGCAAGGTTTGGGGGAGAATGAAGTGAAATGATGTCTGTAAAGCACTTGGCACATTAACAGACACTCAGTCAACGTTGTGCTTCCCCCTTCCCTGTCTTGTGACCTGGAATGTGGAATCTGAGTTTGATAAATAATGGGAGGTTGCTTCAAGTTTTCTGGCAGTAGCGATAAAGTGGCATAATTAAAGCAGTGGTTTGAAAGATGGTTCCTAATGCTGTGTGCTGAACCTGTTAAAGGAGGGGCTGCCTGGAGACAGGAGTTAGGCTATGGCAGGTCTGGGGAGATGCTTGTAAAGAACTGAAGTGTAGCTGGAGGAAGCGAGAAGAAAGAGCTGTGTCAGGAGAGACAGAGATGGATGAACAGGACTTGGCAGTGGAGGGGACTGCAGAGAAAATCAGCGGACATTCCTTTAAGATTGTGCACACTCTGAGCCAGGGGATGTGAGAAAGAAGTACTTGCCTATGAGAGGGAACCCTTTATATTGTCACTACCATGGAAACAACCTAACTAGCTATCAGTAGGGAACAGTTTTGTAAATTATGGTGCATCGAATTAAGATAATTCTGTACAGCTATTTGAAAAAGCTTCTGATGGGAAATAATCTATATGACAAATTAGTAAATGAAAAAATTGTAGTGCAACATGTTATAAATAATATGCTGCTTTTTATGGGAGGGAAAAGGGATGTATGTACAGCTGTGTATGAATAGGCTTATATGTGAATATACGATCTCTGAATGGGTACTCAAAAAACCGAAAACCAAAAACCTGCCCATGGTAGCCTGGGGTGAAGAGGCCTGGGACTGCTGGATGTGGTCAGGAGTAGGAGGGAGACTAACATTTCACTGATCTCCATTTTGAAGTTTTAAGATTTTGTAGTGTGTGCATATAAAAAAAAATTTTTAATGGTTCAAAATAAATTATTTTAAAAGTTGTTGGTGGGGGAGGGTATAGCTCAGTGGTAGAGTGCATGCTTAGCATGTACAAGGTCCTGGATTCAATCCCCAGCACCTCCATTAAGTAAATAAATAAGTAGATGAATAAGCCTAATTACTTCCCCCCCAAACAAAAACAAAACAAAACAAAACAAAAATGTTGTTGGGGCCATGCTGCCCACAGAAACCCAACGTTCGATGTGAGTGTAGCCCTTGTAAAGTGGAGGGAAGAGAAGCACTAATTTTAAAATACCATAACATGGGAGAGAAATACAGAGGCAGCGTCATGTACGAGATAAAGCATGTGGGCTTTGGATTAGAGGGATCTCAATTCCAACACTTGCTAGTTTTGTGACCTTCAGCAAGTCACTCAACCTCTTTGAGCCTTAGCTTTCTCTTCTGAAAAATACCTTTATAAGGTTATTGAGATAAAGATATTTGCCTGGCACATAGTAGCTATTCAGAAATGGTAGCCATTACTTAGCTAGATAGTAGAGTGTAGTGGGAAAAAATGTTGGCTTTGAAATTAGATTTTCTGGGTTTGTACCTGCTCCATCGCCTACTAGTGTGCAGTGAAGTTACTGAATCACTCTGTGTCTCAGTTTCCTCATTTGTAAAATGAGGCTAATAATAGTTCTACCTCATAGGGTTGTTGTGAGGGATAAATGAGTTAATGTACATAAAATGTGTATTTCAAAATGTGCATTTCAAATTAATTCAATTCATTGTCACTGCCATGGGAACAGCCTAAATGTCCATCAGTAGGGAACAGGTTAAGTGCATTATAGTACATCCAATTAAGGTAATTCTTTATGGTTATTTAAACAAGCTTCTGATGGGAATATCTATGTGATAAATTGGTAAATGAAAAAGCACGGTGCCATATGGTATAAATAATATGTAGGAAAAAGTGCCTAGCACATAATAAGCACCAGATAATTATTGTCTGTTGTCATTGTTTATTTACTATAACTATTTCTACTTCTGTTTTTACTATTTTGCTAGACAAGTTAACCCAGAACCCTGTTTTTAATCCGTCCATAATTCCCACACTTTGGGACATGGTGAGAGGAGGTGGGGGGCCAGAATTAGGGTTTTATTGCTTGCATATGTGTACAAGTATGTGTGCTTGAGTGCACATTTACATGCAGTGACATGCACAGATTTTAAGCTTCAATTTGATTGGTTTTGACAAATGTACCTACCTGTGTAACCAAGACACACTTAGGATACAGAACATTTCCATGACTCTTGAAACTTTCTTCGTAGCCTTTTCCAGTCCATCCCTACCCCTCTAGGCAGCCACTGCACTGTTTTCTATCACCATAGCTTAGTTTTGCCTGTTCTTGGCCTTCATATAAATGGAAGTATACGGTCGTACACTTCTGTGTCTGAAGGTGTTTTTCAGATTCATCCATGTTATTTGAACCCATAGTTCACTGTTTTTTTT